TTTGAATACATTTTCTGGAAGAATATGATCTCGGTAAAGAACTAAGATGTGTCTAGAGAACTCTAAGATACAAGTGCTCTGAGGCAATACTTTTCTGCTGAGTTCTCTGGATTGGCCTTCCTCAGGTAGTGCTTATTATAGACTAGGGAAGAGTCCGCCATCTTATAGCTGAGGGCATGTTTATCTTGACTTTTTTCATGGCGTTGCTCAGTTAAGTCAACTTTCTCCTCTATTCTTTTCTTTAATTTTCCTGAGTCATTTTAGGGTTATCTAACTACTAAGCTAGTACTGGGGATGGGAGCTCAGGAAAAAGAAACAATGGAGAACTGCTTAGTTTCTAAGGGTAATCTCGGAAGTTTCACAGTGACTGATCTCCTGAGCCTCAACCATCTTCAATGGCAGTGAATCACTGATGCGGGAAAAATTGCCCTGGATATTCTCCCTCTTGGACTGTATTCCTCTTGACCTTTCCTGCTTCTGTAGCTGTCTAGGCTTTCTTTTCAAAATGATATTTTTTGTTAGACTAAGTTTGTTCCAGGGACTTTTTCTCTCTTTTAAAAAATATCCTGTCCCATGATCAACTGTGGGTTAAACAAAAACAAACAAACAAACAAAAAAAAGCAAGATGCCTGATTTCTTCCAAAATCTTTGAACTTGCCAGTTTACCCCAGCAGGAGTCAAGGGATAAGTTGATCTGAAGTGCGATTACTAATTAACTATCTATCTATACACAGATAGATATACACATTCAGGATTCCAATATATTTCTTGGCTTTAGCTGTTCTTGATATAGGCAAGAAAAAGTAAAAGTAATATTTTAAGTTTATAATATTCTAAGAAGAGCATTTGGTAGTGGCATTTGTTGCTTGGGCTTATCCCTGGCTCCCTACCTACTTACCTGCTGTGTTACTCAACCATGAGCTATGTACTCACTCTCTGCTTTGGTTTCCTTTAATGTGTTTGGAAGAGAGGGGCTTATAATTACACCTACCTTAGTGGGCTACGCAGATTAAATAAATACATGTAAAGCACTTAAACAGTACCTGATACACAATAAGTATTGCTTAGCTATGATTATGAATATTACAATGATTAAGAATGAGATTTAGAAAGTATGATTCTAAAAAAAAAAAAAAAAAAAAAACCAAACCGTCGAGTAGATTCTGACTCATAGGGACCCTACTACAGGACAGACTAGAACTGCCCTATAGAGTTTCCAAGGAGCGCCTGGTGTATTCCAACTGCCAACCTTTTGGTTAGCAGATTGTCATGGATTGAATTATGTCCCCCAAAAAATGTGTGTATCAATTTGGCTGGGCCATGATTCTCAGTATTGTGTGATTTTCCTATATGTTGTAAATCCTGCCTCTATGATGTTAATGAGGGAGGATGGGCAGCAGTTGTGTTAGTGAGGCAGGACTCAGTCTGGAAGATTGGATTGTATCCTGAGGCAATCTCCTGAGATATAAAAGAGAGTAGCGAGCAGAGACAGGGGGACCTCATACCACCAAGAAAGCAGTGCCAGGAGCAGAGCCTGACCTTTGGACCTGGAGTCCCTGCGTAGAGAAGCTCCTAGTCTGGGGAAACACTGACGAGAAGAAGGCCAACAGAGAGAGAAAGCCTTCCCCTGGAGCTGATGCCCTGAATTTGGACTTTTAGCCTACTTTACTGTGACTAAATAAACTTATCTTTGTTAAAGCCATCCACTTCTGGTATTTCTGTTATAACAGCACTAGATGACTAAGACACAGCTGTAGCACTTAACCACTATGACACTAGGGTTTCCATGACTCTAAAGGTTGGACTAAATTGAGTTACCTTGGTCTAAGTTTCTTAAGTGGTCAAGTAACTATGAAATCCCTTTGGCCGACCATTCTTCAAATATCAGAACATGTTGGGGATGTTAGAATAGGCAGTGCTTCGGTTTTAGCATGCTCCATGAAGGCCAAAGGGCTCCGAGACTGAAGACACCCCAAGAGGCCATATGAGAATTCACACTAAAAAGATGTTTACCATTTCCCCAGTCTACTAGTTCCAGGTTTTACTATGTCAGTAAGTGGTCTTGATAAAAGAAACTCTTAATATTCAAGATTCTCTGCAGCTGCTTATATAGTCCCTTCAACTAAACACTATGTATTTTAGGAGGTAACACCTTTTTGAAGAATTCACACCTAAAGTGTTAAAGTCCTTTTCTTCGTTGTCATTGCCAGTGGTGTCCAAGTAGTTACTGAATTGCTAGAGAATATTTTATAGACAGTAAAACTAGAAAATTTACCAAGTGGACCCCAAATTTCTATTACTTAAGGAATATTTCCAAACACACATGAGAAAATCAGAAAAGTGGGTGTCCTGTACATACGTTTCTATTGAAGCTTGTGGCAGTTTCTGACCATAATCATATCAATAATGCATACCCAAAGGCAGTTTACCAGGTTAAATGACTGTGGCTTTGGCTGTAATTGCCAACCCGTTACCCTAATAGTAATTCCAAGGAGGAGAATAACAAACAAAAGGGGCTGCCCAGTGTGTTACTGCTGCCTGTAAAAACAAATAGGATCCTTGGGGTTCAATTACAGAACTTCTAACTACATCTAAAGCCTGCTAATGTTAAAAAGGGAACACTGGACATCTGGAAGATAAGCCTGGATTTGGTCACTTGCTTTGGGGAGACTCAATCCACAAAATTGTGACTGTCCAAATGAGCAGTGGTGCATGCTCCGGGGGTTCACACACAGGCAGAAAGGACAAAGGTGAACGTTAGCCGGCCTACAAAGCTTAGCAATTCAGGGTATTTAAAATCACAAGGAATCCGGGGTGATGACTGGCTTCTTTGGCCCTAACATAAAAAGAAGATGTAACTTAGAATGAAGGGCAGGAACAGAAAAAGTTCTTCCTTGGCAAGAACAAACATGGCCCCTGAAAGATGTGGCAGTCTGCTTCCGCAGAGATTTACAGCCTCGGAAACCCTGTGGGGTTGCTATGAGTTGGAATTGACTTGATGGCAGTGGGTTGGGACCTCACAACTACAGGATGTCAGCTGGCATCAGAGAACCTTAGGAAAAGAATGACTGCAGGGCTGCCTGTGGTATCACAGGTCTCTCACCCAGTGGGAATGGTCAGGAAAGGATTATATACAGCAAAAGGTACAGGAGAGCATTCGACAGAGAGCATTGCGTACCATTTTCTCTATCGTGTCCCTCTTCCCTACCACCAAGGCCAACAATCACGTATATGTATGTATATGGATATGTATGCCCCGGGTAATGCAGTTTAGAGTCAACCACCAACCTAAAGACTGGTGATTGAACCCCTCCAGTGGCACCATGGAAGAAAGGCCTGGTAACCTGTTCTGTAAAGATTACAGCCAAGAAAACCTATGGAGTAGCTCTACTCTGTAACACATGGGGTTGCCATGAGTTGGAATCAACTTGACGGCAACAGGTTTGTGTGTGTGTGTTTTGTTTTGTTAGGTGCTGTCGAGTCGGTTCTGACTTATAGCAACCCTGTGTACAATAGAACAAAACACTGCCCTGTCCTGCACCATCCTCACAATCATTGCTGTTTGAGTGCACTGTGTCAATCCATCTCGTGGAGGGTCTTCCTCTTTTTTTGCTGACCCTCTATTTTACATACAGGACCCTTGTCTCTGTTTTTTTTTTCCTTTCTTTCTTTCCAAAGCTATGAAAAAAAGTTTTTTTGTTTCCTTCCATTTCTGACATGGTTTTAGGAATAAGTGAGAAAACGGCCTTCATTCTTTATAGCAATTCCCACCGACACCTAGTTTTGTGTCACTTAGGAATAAAATTTCAGGCTTCTTGGCATATTTTCTCCATAAAAAGATAATGTCACTATCTCTAAGTTACTCAGGATCCACTCTGCGTGGCATAGCAAAAATTTAAATTATACAATTTAAATTACTCCAAAGTAAAACTCCTTAAAAACAGAGAGAACAGCTTAAGTGTATATTCTAGAGGCAAGAGTAAATGGCGTGGAAAGTGGTACAAGGTTAGCTGAGAAGGTTTAATACTTAGATGTGGCAGCCAGTTGCAGTTTACACACTTTCCTCAGGAGACATAGATGGGGGTGGGGGGTGAGGTGTTTGTCAAAGAGTGAATCAGTTCATGAATACTCAGCTGTGAAATGGAAAATCAAAATGAAATAAGTATGACTGTAACTATTTTGGTCTATTAATATTCAAATATTAATACTTTCCTTTGAGAGGCATTACTGAACATTTACTCACAAGGGAAAATGATAGTTTGGGGAACATGTTTAAGAAAGCATTTAAACAGGGCTTGAATAACATGTGGTTTGCTTAACTCAAGGTAATAGTCCACCAGTTAAAATAAGTTCCCCATCTGAATGTGTCTTCTCGTTCAGGATCCCTTGGAAAAAATTTCCAAAACACATTACAACTTTTCGTACAATTGACACATGGTCCCATTTTCCAAAGACTTGATTTAATATTTTAATGCAATGTTATTTGACTTTGTTAGTATAGAATATTTAAACTTAAAAAGAAAATACCTTAATTTGTTTATGCATAAGCCCATTAAAAAAATGTTTCTAGGAGCTCTTGTTATGTTTATTCTCTAGAACATAACCGATCTTTGAAGTGGTGTATTAGTTTTTAAAAAGTCATTCCCAAGCTGAATAATTAGAGTGTAAAAACAAAAGCTATTCTTAGAGTACATTCCACATAGAAAGCTATCCACATGATGCTTTGATTCAAATAACATTTTTATAAAACTTTGTTATTGTTTGAGGTCTATAGTCAAGAGTGGCAATTTTTGTTTTTGATGATTATTCCATCCTGAAACAATTTCCTCCCTGCCCAATTATACTAGAATTAGGAGCACATTTATATCTGATGAGGCTTAAACTTCTCAACTGCCTGATTCAGAAATGAAGACCTTTAGTGGTTTGTTCATTTTGTCTCGGTGTAGAAAGCTCAAAAGAAAACAGAATCAATTCCCTTAAGTTTTTCTGCGAGAGGAAGGTTGCTTTGATCTCAGCATGTTGTGCATTTTTTATTGGCTGTTGAATATAAAAAGCTGTAGCCTCATCTGGTTTTTCTGTTATGTTCTCATATTGTAAATCACATAATATCTTCCAATCGAAATTAAAATGCCTAGGTCCAAAATACCAGTTCAAAATTGATTCATCATTACAGTTGATAAATTTCCAGGGTATTAGAAACTTACGCACTGGTTTGATTAATAGTCCACAGACTGTTAAATATATATTCATGCACTTTAGACAACGAATTCCTGGATATAGACATACACTCATGCTATTTTAGATCCTTCTTCCTACCATTGCAAGAGGCTGTTTTAGCTAATGTAACAGCTGGCTAGGTTATTGCTTCTACAGTACAATCCATAATGCAAAAGCAGCTCTTTTCTAAACATTTTAGAGCAACTGAAATTGTTTACATGTCTCTTTTAGGTCATTTTCCTATAAATTTGTATCAGTTGGTGTCACACTATTTGGTAAAATCCTCATTAAATTAGGACAACTGCACTTTGTTAAATATCTCTTATGCAGAGTATTACAGTAAAGTTACAGTAGCTGATTTGAGGCCATCATCATTAGTAAATACATAGTTCTAGAAAATGAATGCAAACTACAAAAATGGCACTGTATAATTAAACATCAAATAGTCCAAGTAATAAAAATCATAAATTAACTGCCTCTCAGTTCTGGTGAGGTCCTTTAAATACTGTCTCACGACTTGAACATTGGTTCTTTCATCAGAAGAGTGCCTATCCTTAAAGTTTGGAAATTTCAGCTCTTTTGGAGCACCAATCAGCTGTAAAAAGTAATTGGCATCTTCTGCCAAAGTTTCAAACTTTCCTACAAAATCATAATTGATCAAACATGGATAGCAGAGTTTGCTGACCTTCTCCCAGTGTATGTCCATTCCTACTGGCCGGTGGGAATCCAGCAGATAGTGGATGAACTCTTTGAACTTGACTCCAGATCCATTATTTAATGCTTCTTCACAGGCATTGGGCCGATATTTCTTTATAATTGCCTTCCCAAATACCGGATGGTAATAACTATTTGGGTGTTCAAATTTGTCCCTAAATGCGGACACTAATCTTTCCATGGGATCACGAACAAACACAGCTTTGGTGTAGGTATTTAAGCGAGTATATATCCCTTTTAAGTCAAAGCTATCTAGCTTTTTCAAGTGCTTTCCGTAGTGGACAGCATCATGGGAGATGTTGTATGCAGAGGAGGCCAATCCATTCAACACCATCAGAACTCTTTTCCAGTTGGAACAACCAGCCTTTGGTACTTCACAATATAAGATTTTGTGTTTATCTTCTACATAGATCCTGGATACCATGTGAAAAAGATGTGATTGGGGACGACTCACTCCACCATATTTCTTGCAAAACTTCTGGAGGAATGACCTGCGTTTTTCTTGGGTTACATAAGTGTTCTTCCATTTGCTGTCTTTGACTAAACTTTTATTTAAAGGACTAGTTTCCAATGGCCAATTCATTTTGCTGAACTTCCTGAAAAGAGCCTTTGTTCCTTGAAGTTTTTCGATCAAATTATTTGTTGATGACCTTATGGTTTTACCCAAAGCTTCATCCTTTCCTTGTGAGTGGCTGATCTCCGTTAAGACTCCTGTAGGCCTCTCAGAGTTGACTAGAAAATTTTCCTTTTTTTCCTTGGGCTCCTCAGGCATATGGAACTTGGGGTTCTGTCAAAATAGAGAAAGAGAAAGGTTGGAAGCATGTTCATAAGGAACTTAACATATTTGTTTTAAAATACTGTCAAGGGGAACATATTTCATATATGCTGCAAGAACAGTTTAGCAATTCATGCTGAAGATATACTTTGTAGGAAGCTTCTTTGTGGAAAACATAACAATGAAAAATGACATTAGCAAGGTGGAAATGAAAGGGCCCTGGATTTTTGTCCTGGCTTTGCCAGTCACTCTACAGAATGTAACTCAATCATTCTGTAGGTCAATGGTTCTTGAGCTATTAAGCTATTATTAAGGAGTGTGTTCTCTTTAGGTACTGATTTAGCTACTGCATCTGACTCTATGTACAAAATGTAATGATATTTGGATGGAATTTTGTTCTTGTTGTTTTTGGGATCATGTGTTGAAATGCACAGAACAGTCCAAAGTCATCAATTACATAAATTGTAGCAAGGTTAATCATAAAGTCCCAGTATTTCAGTTTTATAAGAATTTTTAAAAAGTGCTGTATTTTTCTCTAGGAAAATGTTCCATTTTTCTAAATTCATTTATCACAATAATTTAAGAGCTGTAACCATAATAGCATAAATTTTCATTATACATTTCCCAAGTGAAGAATGAAAAGTCTACTTTATGTCCTACTATGTAAAATTGCATCAAAAGTAGGAGGATTTAGTTCTCTTGCCAGAAGGATGAATCAGCCCCTCTATCCGTTCTCTTCATCTGACTACATCCTTCCTACAACTCTTGCAGTGCCTGGATAAAGGAATAAATGGAAAATGGGGTTTAAAAGGTAGCATGGGGTTTCCAAGGTGGCATTTTGTCCTCTGATAGGGACAAAAATTATAAGGATTTTGGCTTTTATTCTGGGTGAACTAACCAGGGAGCCTTTGGAGGGTTCCGAGTAAAGAACTGACATGATCTGACTTATATTGGAAAAGGGTGAGTGTAGAGAAGACAGGACTATAGATACACATATGGGGTTATCAGCATGTTATTAGACAAATTAATGAATAAATGATGTGCTGTGGGGGTAACATCTGTGGCCACCAGTGTAGAAGTGGGGGGATTTGTGGGAAAAACTTCCTAGAGGATTAAAAAAATTTTTTTACCATTGTATCCCTAGTGTCTAGAATTGTGTCTAGCATATAATAGTTACTCTCAAATATTTGTGGAATGAATGAATTAATTAATGGAATTAAATTTTGGTGGATGATTAGAAATTTTCCAGGCTAGGGGTATAGGGTGGAGCTGGGCAGGGCATTCCTAGCAGAAGTCACAGTAAAATAAGCAAAAGAGCAGAGGAATGAAGCAATGTGGTGTGGCAGCCAATCCCAGGCATCATGGTCCTTTACCAGCTAAGCTTTAAAGGGACTGCTTCTTTCTAATGCAAGAAGATTGTGTGAGTAAGCCCACGATATTGGTAAAGTAATGATGTTTCATTTTCTTGAATATTGGTCCATCAGACCAGAAGACAGAGAACTATTTTCCTTGCATTTCATTGCTGCTTCCAGGATATGTCCTTCTGCTCCTGTGAAGCACATGCATACTGCTGAGCCTTCCTTTCCCCTCCTCACGCTGTCATCTGTCTTTACCAAGATCTCTTCACCTTATGCACTGAAGACTTTAGCACCTAACTCAGACTTTGCTCTTCACCCTGCTCTTCTCGTTACACTTAGTGACTCTAGCACCCAGTAACCTCGCGGTTTCTTGACCATCTCACCTCTAACAGCTTTCTCCACTTCACATAGACCTTGCCATCTCCAGTCTGCACCACCTGCATCATCTCTCTGACCATCACTGGCTAACCTCCCAGCTTGTCGTTACTTTCAGTTTTGTAAATTTTTGACCACGTTTTCACTGTTATACAAGCTCTTAGCAGCCAGCATGGCTGGTTTTTCATCCTTTAGCTCTCAGCTAATAAGTCACCTCCATAGAGAGGCTTTCTCTGTCCTACCTAAGCTATATCCCCCTCTGAGATTCCGTTCCCCAGTACCCTGCTTACTTTCCTCATAATACTAACCATCACGTGAAATTATTTTACTTATTTACTTCTATGTTTTGTTTTCTCAACCACTCCACCTCCACTGCACTAGAATATGACTGCAGAGGCCTTATCTGTCTTATTCTCTGTTGACTCTCTGGTACTAGCACAGTACCAGACACATGAAAGAGGTTGTGAGTTGACTCCAACTCACAGCATCCCCATGTACAACAGGATGAAACACTGCCTGGTTCTGCATCATCTTCACGATCATTGGTATGCTTGAGCCCATTACATAATAGACGTTCACTAAGTAATTTCTGAATGCGTAAATGTGATTATGGTTTAATAATGGACTTCCAAACAATTGTTTTAGGACCTTGCTGAAGAAAAATACTGTTAACAGAAAGGTCACAGTCAACCTAGATAAATAATTTACCAATTCTTGTTAAGGTGCTGAAAACCTGTATTCAAACAAATCTTTGGTAGAAGAGAAAACAAATAAAATAGACACATCTGCTGAAAACCTGTATTCAAACAAATCTTTGGTAGAAGAGAAAACAAATAAAATAGACACATCTTGAGCTGCTCTGGCTAAAGTAAGTGAGGAGGGTGTAGCGCCTTACCTGCCTGCCAAATCAGATTGGTTTAAAGTCATTCATTGCTGCCTTGGAACACCTGGAGGGCCTGCTAGCAATCTGGATTCTCGGGCCTTGCTGTGGACACACTGAATCAGAATCTCTGGGGGTAGAAACTCTCCAACTTAAGCTCCCCAGACACTCTACAGGCAGTAGGGGCATTCAGGGATCACTGAACTACAGCATAGCAACTGAAAGTAAAAAAAATAAGGGACAAGGCCTGAGAGGTCATCTTACACTATCCAGGGAAGAAACACACCAAAATGGTGGATGTATTTCAGTAAAAAGATAGAAATACTTGGTTGCACAGCAGGGATATTATATCAGCTCTCACATGAACCAGATGAAATACCCTTCATGTTTATCCACTTCCCTTTACTGGAAGTTCATGTTCATCAAGCAACTTTCTAATGATTAGTTTGGGTAGGGAGATAACTGCATGAGGGAAAGGGTCATCACTGCTTATAAGTTAGACTTCAGTCTCGTGTTAGTTTATTTAGTGCAAGTCAGTTTCCTCAACTCTGTCAAATTGAAATAACGTCAAAGCGTTAATTCCTCTAAAGTTCTCCAGTTGGACAGCCACCAGACTTGCTCCCAACAACACCCTAACCTCACCATTACTCACCTTATAAAAATCTTTATTAGGATGTATAGATAAATCCCTCCATACACCCACCCAACTCCATTTCCTTCCATCCACAGAAAAGGATTTCTATGACTGAGGAGTTTGAACTACTCAAATCAAAGTTAATGACATTTTAAAATTCAGGCTATGCTTCCTCAATTATTTTTCTTGGAGCAAAATACAGAACTTTGATATCTAGTGTTCTTATAGTAAATACCAATATCATCATCACAATGGTAATAACAATAAGAACAATAATGATAAAAAGAGTAAAATCTTATACCTCCGTTTTCCTTCGGAGTACTTCGTTCTGATCGTCCCTGAAGCAAACACATACAAAGCCAAACTTAGCCTGCTCCCACCACAACTGGTTCCTCCTTATGGTTTTTTAATTTTTTTTTTCTGAAATGATTTCAATTACTTTCTGCTCACCAAGTCACAAAATCTGAGACAGCTTTAATAGTCAGAAAGCAAATCGGTTATTTTACATTTCATACTGTCTCTTTCATCTTTTCAAAATGTATTACCTCTTAACTGAATATTCTTTAGGATCCTTCTAATTAGTCTCCAGGCAAATTATTACCAACTTAGTTTTCCTCAAACATTTTATTTTTCAGCCCTCAAAATTTTGTACTGGCTCCATAATACAGAAGTCAAGTCGCGATTCCTAAGCTGGCACTCGCAGCCTCTCACTGTTGGGCTTCTTCTAACTTTGTGTTCTGCTGTCTCTTGACATCTACTCTATCTTCCACTTCCTTCCACCCTGGGCTCTCAGCACCCTCTGTCCATGCTCTCCCCTTTTCTGGGCACTTTCCAAATCTTCTAGGCTGATACAAAATCCTACTTTCTCCGGGAAAACCACCCAGCTTTCCATCGAGTGATTCCATGCCTCTTCTAACCGACTTTAGTGCTTTGTCTGTACCACCTACAAGTAATTTTTTCTAGCTTACATAGCTTTTGCTATTTGATTTTTCATTGGAGAAACTCTTTCATCACTACGAAAATTGTAAGCTATGGCAGAGAGCTATAGTTTTCCATAAATATCTTTCAAGAATGGATACTACTGCAAAGTTAGTTGAAATATATGTAACTAAAGACGCAAAAAAAAAAAGAAGTACTCGAAGACCAGAATCTGGTCTGGACCCAACCGTGAGTTTTAGGAACAAGTTTAGACTTTCAGTTTCTCCTGAGAACGACGGGTGCCATACAGAAGGCAGGGCTCTAGAGTGGGAAGGGCACAGTTTCCTGGGGTTGAGCCCTGGCTCTGCCTGCACCTGGCTGTTGGACAATGAGTAAGTATCTTAGCCTTGCTGAGACTCAGTTCCTTTATCTGAAAAGTGGGGATAATAGCAGTAATTACCCCAAAGGTGGCAAGGATTAAATGAGTTAATAGCCGGCACATGGTAAGTGATATTATTATTGCCATCTTTCAGGGACAATTCATTCACTTCCAACTAAATTGAAATGTGGCAATTACGAAAAATTATGTGTCCTGCCACCTATGTGTCTTTAATGCTGACTACGTGCTGATGCTACCATTTCTGAGAGTGTCCTACACATTGTAGACTGTGTCTGTGTGGGGACCTTGTGGGCAATTAACAAGCAAATTTGATGATGATCATATTAGTGATTAGATGGTGATTTTTTTCGCCTTCATGTCATTTAGCTTTGACATTTTTCTAGCTTAACTTCATATTACTTTGAATAATGTATCTTTTGTGATTCAGCTTGAATCCAGAGATGAGTG